ACTACTACTACCTCCACCTCTTCCTGCCTATATATATAGCCGTCCTGCTCCACCTCTGTTAGTGTGACTTTGTCAATGGTCCAAGTCGGACCGAAACGTCGTCGTAAGCTTCTCTCTTTTATGTGCGGGTTATTTGTGTATCCCTGACTCTTGTCTGCCATTCTGTCATCAGTGTCCATGACTCGTGTCTGCCACTCTGTCATCTGTGTTCCTGGCTCGTTTCTGCCACTCTTTCATCTGTGTCCCTGGCTCGTGTTTACCACTCTGTCATCTGTGTCCCTGACTCTTGTCTGCCACCGTCATCAGTGTCCCTGGCTCGTGTCTGCCACTCTATCATCTGTGTTCGTGGCTCACGTCTGCCATTCTGTCACCTGTTTCTGGCTCGTGTCTGCCACTCTGTCATCTGTGTTCCTGGCTCGTTTCTGCCACTCTGTCATCTGTGTCCCTGGCTCGTGTTTGCCACTCTGTCATCTGTGTTTCTGGCTCGTGTCTGCCACCGTCATCAGTGTCCCTGGCTCGTGTCTGCCAGTCCATCACCTGTGTTCCTAGCTCACGTCTGCCATTCTGTCACCTGTTTCTGGCTCGTGTCTGTCACTCTGTCATCTGCATCCCTGGCTCGTGTCTGCCACTCTTCCAACATTAATATATACAAATCATCCAGAGGCTCAGTGGTGTCCTTGGAATATAGTTATCTGCCTAATTTTAATTCATCAGCGAACTTGTGTCGCTATTTTTTTCACTATTCATGTAGTTTATGTACATTGTGACCAAGAACACCTCAACAGTGACCCCCTCCCCCTCCCTGTGCAACGCCACTTGCGAACAAGTGGCCTTAACACTGACCCGTAGAACGCCACTTGGGACCACTCAACGCTCTATTTTTCAACCAGTTTATGTAAATTCTCTGCAGCAATGGGTCAGACAACCCTGGAGGCAGATGAGAATGTCTTCTGCGATACCATGTGCATTTATGTTCTTTGATGTTTTCCAGTGAGGAATTTTACCGAAGGGAGGCACTAGTCAATGAAATTGCAAATACCGAACTTAAGCTGAAGGAATCTTATAGGAGACAAGAATCACAGGAAGAACTAAAAGCCAATAAAGGAAACTGAAAAAAAAATACTTCTTCTCTTATGCCAAATCTAAGGGAAAAACAACAGTCAGTATTGAGCCCCTGCTTAGGCGGGATGGGACATACACAGATGATAGCCAAGAAATGAGTGAGATACTAAAGTCCCAATATGACTCAGTGTTCAGCGAGCCACTGCCCAGAATAAGGGTCGACAATCCAAATGAATTCTTTATGAACGAAACCCAAAATTTGGTCATCCCAAAAATCTCGGATATTATTCTAACTCCACAAGACTTTGAAGAGGCAGTTAGTGACATGTCCATGCACTCTGCCCCAGGCCCAGACTCGTCGAACTCCGTGTTCATCAAGAATTGCGAGAAGCCCCTATCGCGTGCCTTTATCATTTTATGGAGAGGGAGCATGGACACTGGGATCATCCCACACACACTAAAAACAACAGACATAGCCCCACTCCACGATGGTGGCAGTAAAGCAATTGCAAAGAACTACAGACCGATAGCACTAACATCCCATATCATAAAAATCTTTGAGAGGGTTCTAAGAAGCAAGACAGCGAACCACCTAGACACCCATCAATTACACAACCCAGGGCAACACGGGTTTAGAGCAGGTCGCTCCTGCCTGTCCCAGCTACTGGACCACTATGACAAGGTCCTAGATGCTATAGAGGATAAACAAAATACAGATGTAGTCTACACAGATGTAGTATACACAGACTTTGCAAAAGCTTTCGACAAGTGTGACCTTGGTGTAATACCACACAACTTCCTGACAAATAGAACACAAAGAGTGGTAGTAAACAGAGCAAAGTCCCAGGCAGCCACGGTAAAAACTCTGTTCCACAAGGCACAGTACTCGCTCCCATTCTATCCCTCATCCTCATTTCTGACATAGAGATGTAAGCCATAGCTCCGTGTCTTCCTTTGCGGATGACACCCGGATTACCATGGCAGTGACCTCCATCGAAGACACCGCGAGACTCCAAGCGGACATACCTGGAGGTTATTCCGGGGATCAACGCCCCCGCGGCCCGGTCCATGACCAGGCCTCCCGATGGATCAGGGCCTGATCAACTAGGCTGTTACTGCTGGCCGCACGCAGTCCGACGTACGAGCCACAGCCCGGCTGATCCGGCACTGACTTTACCAAATCTTCGAATGGGCCACTCAAAACAATATGAAGTTCAACGAGGAGAAATTTCAACTACTCAAATATGGGAAACTTGAAGAAATTAAAAATGTGCCAAGGTATACGACAAATTCTAACCATACAATACAGCGGAAAAGTAATGTGAAGGACCTGGGAGTGATAATGCCAGAGGATCTCGCCTTCAAAGACCACAGCAATGTAACTACCTCATCTGCTAGGAAAATGATAGGATGGATAATGAGAATCTTCAAAACTAGGGACGCCAAGCCCATGATGATTCTCTTCAAATCGCTTGTGCTCTCTGGGCTGGAATACTGCTGTACACTAACGGCCCCCTTCAAGGCTGGCGACATTACAGACCTGGAGAGTGTACAAAGAACTTTCACGGCACACGTAAGTACGATAAGGCACCTAAACCATTGGGAACGGTTGAAGGTCCTTGATCTGTATTCCCTCAAACGCAGGCGAGAGAGATACATGATAATATACACTTGGAAAGTCCTGGAGGGATTAGTACCAAACCTGCACACGAAAATCACTCCCTATAAAAGCAAAAGACTCGGCAGGAGATGCAACATTTCCCCGATGAAAAGCAGGGGCGCCACGAGTATACTGAGAGACAACACAATAAGTGTCCGGGGCCCAAGACTGTTCAACTGCCTCCCAGCATACATAAGGTGGATTACCAATAGACCCCTGGCTGTCTTCAAGAAGGCACTGGACAGGCACCTAAAGTCAGTACCTGACCAACTGGGCTGTGGTTCGTACGTCAGCTTGCGTGCGGCCGGCAGTAACAGCCTGGTTGATCAGACCCTGATCCGCCATGAGGACTGGTCTTAGACCAGGCCGCGGGGGCGTTGACCCCCGAAACCCTCTCCAGGTAATGCAAGATCAACAGTGTCAAACTTTTTATCACCGTTAACTGCTCCGCATGTCTGAGTGAAAAATTAATCATTAAATTCGTTAAGCCAGAACGAAATGGGTGTACAGGCGTAAGGCCGAAACTTAGGGGCATAGAGACGCTTAACAATGTTTTGTAGGGACAACGTTTTGCTCTGCGTAGATATTTTTTCAAGTTATGAATCGATAAAGCCTACATAGTGGGACGTATATGTCTTCAAGAGGGAGCTGAACAAATTCCTCAAGTTAGTTCCTGATCAGCCGGGCTGTGATGCATATGCTGGATGCGTGCAGCTAACGCCAACGGTCTAGTTGATCAGACCCTGGTCCAGGGCCGGTGACATCCCCCGGAATCATTATCAGGAAACCCTCCAGGTAATCGTTATACTCATTCGAGCCCCTCAAGCGATGGTTCCTTGATGCTGGTGAGAGGTTCTTGATCTAGGGAATTGGATCTGTGCTTCAATTTCCTGAACTAAGTCTGAATGCCTTCCATCCCCCCCCCTCCCACAGGTGCTGTATAATCCCTGCAGGTTTAGTGCTCTCAATAATAATAATAATAATAATAATAATAATAATAATAATAATAATAATAAAAAGAAGAAGAATACAAGAACATTCTTGCTAAACTCTGATGAGACTTATGAAGCCACTCACTGGCGAAATGTTGCTTTTAATAAACGTACTGACTTGTACACAAGTGTTCTTGTCCCACAGTTCATCGGTATCGCTACACCATTTACCAACCCTGGTCAAATTATTCTAATCGAGGTTGACTTCAAAATGTAGCTGATACATCCAATATTACTGTGATTTTGCAGTTCCCCCGTAATTTACACGGTAGCGAGTGCAGGTTGATTATAGATAAATCGGAGTTTAGACCCAATCTTCCCATTGGTAAATAGGTATATCCCCACCGGCCGCTTCTAGCACTTCGTCTCCCAGCACCGATACCTCACTGGCGGTGATTTATTCAAGGGATGGTGTGATTGTTTACCAAAGGTCCAGCGTGTACCTTCGTAAACAGTTGCGCAGATTTCTTGAGATGGATTCAGCGGGGAAGGAGAATGGAGGGAGGGGAAAAGGGGTATTAAACTGTTTACAGCACTCGGCCACTACTATCACCATTAACATTCACACTACCGCTTCTACCAGCACCACCAACATTCGTACTCCCACTACTACCAATACCACCAACATTCACGCAACCACTACCACCAACACAACATCACCATCGCCACCAGCCTCCACGCTACCACCACGACAAACACCCACATCACCAACAGTATCCACAAAACTACCACCGTCACCACCACCACACGCCATGCTCAGCTCCACAACACCTTCTCACTACCATTACTATCGCCATCACCCGTACACCCACACCACCACAAAAAAAAAAAAACTATTCAAGACACAAAAACCGTACTAACACAATCTCACAAAGCCGCAAAAACTCCCACAGAACCACAAAAAAGGAAACGAGATATATATATATATATATATATATATATATATATATATATATATATATATATATATATATATATATATATATATATATATATATATATATATATATTATATATATATAAATTTAGTGAACGAATGACAAATTTACAGAAAACAAACCATGGCGACTGAGAGCATCAAATAAACCCGGGGAAAACATTCAAACCAAACTACAGTGATCTCAACATCGCTCGCGTTTGACAAAGTCTAAGCACTGAGAGAGAGAGAGAGAGAGAGAGAGAGAGAGAGAGAGAGAGAGAGAGAGAGATGGGGAGCGGAGAGAAAGAGGGAGTTTGGGGGACAGGAGGAAGGGGGAGGAATGGCCAGAATCGAGGGGGTAGAGAACGCACAGAGCCGCCAGTTGAGTGGCGACCTCAGATACGTGTGGATGCTACTGTCTCTTCTCCCGTGTCTAGTGGAACCTACGCTTGGATTTAGTGCTCCCGTGGATCTCACCTAGTTTGTCACTGGCGCAAGCAAGGATCTAGCCTGGATTTACATCCCTCTCTCAAGGTGCTCTATCTCGGTTCAAGAAGGATGTACAGTGTTCTTTTGTGTTCGCTATAATTTATGTAATTTTTGACTCAAGAAAATTTTTATCAGAAAAAAAAAATAATGCAGCAGTTGTATTTCTGGATGCATAGAACCAAAATTTTGATAAATTAAACGGCACAGTAGTTGGAAATTACTCAGGAAAAAACTTTGTGAAAATGTGTATGGCCAGAAAACAGTGAAATGTGAAACGGGTCGGGAAACTTAAGTGTGAAAACAGGTCGGGAAAATAGTGAAGTGTGAAAACAGGTCGGGAAACAGTGAAGTGTGAAAACAGGTCGGGAAACAGTGAAGTGTGAAAACAGGTCGGGAAACAGTGAAGTGTGAAAACAGGTCGGGAAACAGTGAAGTGTGAAACAGGTCGGGAAACAGCGAAGTGTGAAACAGGTTGGGAAACAGTATAGTGAAAGTGAGTTAAACAGTGATGTGAAAAATGTATGGACAGTGAAAAATGTAGCGTCTGAAAACAGTGTTATCAAAAACTAGTTCTGTTTTTTTTTGTCGTGTCTAGTGGATTTTTTTTTGTTTTAACTAGAACCATGGGTTCTAGTGTGGGATGAATGTAGGTTTTATATTGTGAGATGAGTGTAGGTTTTATATTGTGAGATGAGTGTAGGTTTTATATTGTGAGATGAGTGTAGGTTTTACACTGTGGGATGAGTGTAGGTTTTACACTGTGGGATGAGTGTAGGTTTTATATTGTGAGATGAGTGTAGGTTTTATATTGTGGGATGAGTGTAGGTTTTATATTGTGAGATGAGTGTAGGTTTTATATTGTGGGATGAGTGTAGGTTTTATATTGTGAGATGAGTGTAGGTTTTATATTGTGGGGTGAGTGTAGGTTTTACACTGTGGGATGAGTGTAGGTTTTATATTGTGAGATGAGTGTAGGTTTTATATTGTGGGATGAGTGTAGGTTTTATATTGTGGGGTGAGTGTAGGTTTTATATTGTGGGATGAGTGTAGGTTTTATATTGTGGGGTGAGTGTAGGTTTTATATTGTGGGATGAGTGTAGGTTTTATATTGTGGGATGAGTGTAGGTTTTTATTGTGGGATGAGTGTAGGTTTTTATATTGTGGGATGAGTGTAGGTTTTATATTGTGGGATGAGTGTAGGTTTTATATTGTGGGATGAGTGTATGTTTTACACTGGGATGAGTGTGGGTTTTATATTGTGGGATGAGTGTAGGTTTTACACTGTGGGATGAGTGTGGGTTTTATATTGTGGGATGAGTGTAGGTTTTATATTGTGGGATGAGTGTAGGTTTTACACTGTGGGATGAGTGTAGATTTTATATTGTGGGATGAGTGTAGGTTTTACACTGTGGGATGAGTGTGGGTTTTATATTGTGCAATGAGTGTAGGTTTTATATTGTGGGATGTGTGTAGGTTTTATATTGTGGGATGAGTGTAGGTTTTATATTATGGGATGAGTGTAGGTTTTATATTATGGGATGAGTGTAGGTTTTATATTGTGGGATGAGTGTAGGTTTTATATTGTGGGATGAGTGTAGGTTTTACACTGTGGGATGAGTGTGGGTTTTACAGTGTGGTGGAAAATAAGAGGGGTGGCTATGATGGCTACTGCTACCTGACGATTCTAGTTCCTGGTGCACTGCCTTGCCTAGTGCACCCACGAGGGCACGCGCACACACATACACACAGCGCACACACCTCAACACACAAAGAAAAAATGGATGGAGAGGTTGTATTTAAGGAAAAAAAAATCTTTAATAGTTAGTCATGAAATATTAATTTAGAAACGACAAAGCATAAGATGAATATAACGAAGCTATAACAATGAATAAGAGCCTTTATGTTTGAGAGAAAAATATGAACAGTGATATGAGGAAAAATGTCCACACGCGATGTCATACATGGGGTGGCACAAGGATCTGTACTCGCCCAGGGGAGAATGATTTTAATATATATAACATACATATATATATATATATATATATATATATATAATATTTTTTTTTTTTTTTTTTTTTTTTTTTTTTGAACTATTTTTTTTTTTTTTTTTACCAATAGGAATATTTTATTACATAATATGGCACAGAAGATTTAAGAGATACATTGTTGATATAAAGGTGGCATATACGGTACATGTTGTTTACGTGTGTATCACCGATTATAAGGCGAAAATCATCCAGCTCCTCAGAGCTGGGGCGTGTGCCCAAAATGCAGCATGCATTATATATATATATATATATATATATATATATATATATATATATATATATATATATATAATCTGCAGATAAACAAACGGAAGAATAGCCGGGAGTGGTCCTGACATATAGCTGGTCTAACGATGTACCACTGAGCTACGAAGCTTACATAAGATTTCATAGACATATACATGTACTGCTTGGTTTTGAATTATTTAATAATCTTATGCAAAGTAAATAAGAAAAAAAAAGACAATCCATACAGTATGGTTTTGATAAACTGAGCAGTGGAGTAACAGATGGATGATGAAACTTAATGTAGACAAATGCCATTTAATGGAAATCAGGCCACGTAATAATAGATTGTGTGACAAAATATTCTAAGCATTAGAAGAGGAGAACCAGAAGCTATTTAAAATATATCACCAGAATGAACAAAAAGATATCAAATTGTCACTAGAACAACACACAAATAACCCGCACTTGGGAGAAAGAAACAACGACGTTTCGGTCCGACTTGGATCACTGACTAGTTAATGGTCTAAGTTGGACCGAGACGTCTTCGTTTCTCCTATGTGCGTGTTATTTGTGTATCACCAGGTTAAATAAGCGAAACTGTAACCAACTCCTATCCAACTGTCAAACTGCAAAGCAGCTCTCAAAATATATATGAAGGAAATGCTGTAAATGTTTTAACATACATTAGGCCCAAATCGGAACGTGCAGGTGCTGTGTGGGATCATTATCTAAATTATGAAAAAAAAAAAAAAAAGCCTGGGAGTTGTGGTGAGCATCAAGCAGTAAAAAAGTGTTCGTAATAAATTTGATAAGATTTCTTTGAAAAAGACACTTATGTAAAGTTCGGGACATTTATTAAAGGAAACGTTTCGCTACTGGCGAAACGTTTTCTTTAATAAATGTCTTGAACTGTACATAAGTGTCTTTCCTTATCTTGTCGGTATCACCAGACCATTTCTCCAAGACTTCTTGGCTTCGTATCTAAAATATATATCAAGAGCTGTATGACCCTTTCGAGTTTAGAGCTTCATTTGATTATTAAAATTATAAATAATAGAATTTCCAAGGTTATACTCCAACTTCAGCAATTTATTTATGTAAGGTCTGTATAGTCCTTGTGGCTTAGCGCTTCTTTTTGATTATAATAATAATAATAATAATAATAATAATAATAATAATAATAATAATAATAATAATAATTTATGTAAGGTAAATTAATATTTAGAAAGGGTATAGGGAAGTACGGATTTGGCAGTAGAGTTGTGACTGAATGGAACAGGTAGCGTCACTGAAGCATCTTCCATGGGTAGCCTCAGAAACAGACTGGCGACAGATACCTGAGTGAATGGGTGTAAACTGGACCTGGACCTGTCTACCATGGGCCAGTAGGCCTACTGCAGTACCTCCATTCTTAATAAAAGGCTTCATGCACTACCGATACCCAGGGTAGTTGGTAGAAATTATTGATGAAACATTTCGCCTACACAGTAGGCTTCTTCAGTCAAATACAGAGGGAACAGTGGTAATGAAATAAAGATGATGTAATCAGTCCATCAACCTTGGAGAAAAAGTATTTGAGGTGGTCAGTCCCTCAACCTAGAGAAGAGTTCAGTCTCCATGGCTGGTAAAAGGAATAACAGGAGGCATGATCACCCGACCTAAACCTCTATGTGGATTTCCCACTTAAGTTTTGCATTAAATTCCTCCATCAGGATTAGACTGTCTTCGATCTATACAAAATAACCAATTAAACATACCACAATGGAAATGAGTCACTTCGACTTGTTTTGTGTTACACCTATGTTATCGTGTATGATAATTTGTGTAACTGTATTTATGTGTACCTGTACCTAAATAAACTTACCCAACGGAAATAAACAGAATAAAAGACAGTTAAGAAGTTGTGTCGCATTAACAGAAAACGGACACCCAGCAAGCAATGTAGACAATGTCAGACTTTCACTGTTGACAATACCTTCATCAGGCACCCATTTGACTGCCTTGCTGTCTATCTGATTAAGAGCATATAAGGGCATTAAGATGGCATATAAGAGCATAAAAGAACTAGAAAAATGGGTCCGTATTACCTTCCAGAGATATGACAAGAGGCTACACATTTAATAAAGGCGAAGCCGAGGATATACTAAAAAAAAAAAATCTCGGAGTAGCGGAACAGTGGAATAAATTACGAGGTAGTAATTCCTATCACTAGATTTTTTAAAATTATATGATGAAATAATTACTGGAGATGGGACACCACGAGCATGGCTTTGCCGCTGTACCTACAAATTGGGATTTACAAGCTCTCGCACGCAAGCACGCCCACACTTAAGCCCGCGCGTGCGCTCACACACACACACACACACGCACACGCACACACACACGCACACGCACACACACACACACACACACACACACACACACACACACGGGGCCAGGAGCTGAAACTTCACCCCTGTAACCACACATAGGTGAGTACGCAGGGAGACTTGTATATCCATAAGAGAACTAACACGCCCTAGAGGTTCAGAACTCCTGACCCAGTATTCGGTATTCAGGACCCAGTATCCAGTACTCAAGACCCAGTATTCAGTACTCAGCATCCAGTACTCAGGACTCAGTACTGAAGAACATAAGAAAAAGGAGTACTGCAGAAGGCCTGCTGGCCCATGCTAGGTACCTAACACGCAGTACTCAGGATTCTAAACGTCAGAAAAACAGTCGCCTGGTGTTGAGTGTTTTATTTAGCTGTTACAAATATTTAATGGG